ATGAGAACCTGCTTGACCTGAACCAGAAGCTTCAGTTGCAGCTCAACCAGGAGAAGGCCAACCTCCAGCTGGAAAGCGAAGAGCTTAATATCCTCATTAGGTGCCCCAGTGTTCCTTTTCTTTTTTAAGATTTATTTATGTACCCAAGAACTGGGGTGCAGGCTAGAGGTGTAGGGGGTGAAAGGATTCAACAGAGACAGAGTGGGGAGCAGAACAGGCAGATCTACTGAAATACACTGCTGAGGGGAGCAGCGGGGGGGTCAGGAGAGGTCTGCCACGCCCCCCTGCCAGGGAGATCCCCGCATTGTTGGCATCCGATTGTTTTCAGCTACTCCCTATGCTTAACCCCTATTTTTTGATACTTCTTTCAGTCTTACAGTCCATACACCTTATAATCCAGAGTTTCTCATGGGTACTGCAGGTCTCATGGTTTTTGAGTGTCAGTATTCCTTCTCACTCACTGTGACATTCAAAATGGTCTCATTTCCAAACATCTGGGGGCTTGTGGATCACTTCCCTGCCAGGGATTCAACTCGTGCTGCAGTGGCTTCAAAGAGCTTCATAGTGCTGCACTTTAACCCATTGTGCCACCAGGGAGGGCCCAGGTGCCCCAGCATTCTTTCCCAGTGCCACAGCTGGAGTCATTTCTCTTCCTTGCCTGTGTTCTAAAGAGCCCAGTATGTATTTTGAAAGGCTGTTGTCATAGATTCAAGCATCCCTTTCTGAATAAGTCAACTGGACTTGGCCAAGAGGCTGAGAACAGCAGAATTCTTGGGATTTTTCCTTACACTACCTCTAGGGAAAGGAAAAAATGGGTAGTTGGATAGGTCACTTTTGTGACCTTGACACTGTGCAGCTGAACATATCCACAGAGGAAGCTGTCCACAATTGCTGATACAATCATAAGGGTTGGGTTATTAATGGGAAGAAGCTACTTACTTTTTCAGTAAGGTATAGACCTGAGAGATGGGGTTTGCATTCTGTACTCCCAGGTGAGAGGAGCAGTGAATCCATGAAAAAAAATTAGGGAACACATGTTCCAGAATAGGTATATCTTTGGGGTTTACTTCCTATATAGATCATCTGGAGTATTCCACTCCAGTACCTCCCTGTTGCCCTTGTTGACTTTGGTCCTTCTGTCCATTTATAGGTGTTTCAAGGATTTCCAATTGCAGCAGGCCAACAAGATGGAGCTGCGAAAGCAGCAAGAAGATGTGAGTGTGGTTCGTCGCACTGAGTTCTATTTTGCTCAGGCACGGTGGCGTCTGACAGAAGAAGATGGACAGCTAGGAATTGCTGAACTAGAGCTGCAGCGCTTCCTCTACAGCAAGGTATTGAGCATATACAGTCACAGAACAGAATGACAGTTGTATTAAGAGGCATTGACCTCTTTCAAAGTCCGAGTCACAAAAATAGTAAAACAAAAGGGGCTAATTATTATATGATTATTAATGATAGAAACATGAGCAGAGGTCCCCTTGGACCTATTTGTTACATGAAGTAATACAGATCTACATAAGCTTGATCAAATGCTTCCCTTGTTGATTATTGTCTCTAGAAATGCCCGGAAGAAATGATCTTCCACGTCCAGCTTGTAAAAGAACCATTAATTCTAGCATACAGCTTTCCTGCATTTAACCTTTTGTGAAGTATCAGTTCCTATCCCAAGCCCCCAGAAGTTTGGAAATGAGACCATTTTGAGTGTCACAGTGAATGAAAAGGAATACTGACATTTAAGTACCATGAGACCTGTAGTACCCATGAGAAACTCTGGATTATAGGGTGTATGGACTGTAAGATTGAAAGAGGTATCAAAAAATAGGGGTTAAGCATAGGGAGTAGCTGAAAAAAATCTGATATAGCAATTCTCTAGCAGGCTCTTCAGAAATGCTTAATATTGTGGATCGGGTGGGGTGGGGTATCTGTCTTTATAGGTGAATAAGTCTGACGATACAGCAGAACACCTTCTGGAGTTGGGCTGGTTCACTATGAACAACCTCCTGCCCAATGCTGTCTATAAGGCAAGTCGTTCCCCCATTCCTCGCCATTCTCATGCTTCCTGCTACTGGGCATTTGTAGTAGCCCTTCCACATAAACCCAGCATTGCCAGCAATGCGGGGGTCTGAAATGATGGAAGCTTGCCCAGCTTCGCAAGACCATTTCTCCCCTTCTAAGTCTGTAGAAGACTTGTGGGTTAATTTATCCCCCAACCCTACAGGTAGTCCTGCGACCCCAGAGCTCCTGCCAGTCTGGACGTCAGCTAGCCCTACGCCTCTTCAGCAAAGTCCGACCCCCTGTTGGGGGAATCTCTGTTAAGGAGCACTTTGAGGTTAGTGAACAGTCCTTTGTGTACCCAGGAAGAAGAAGCAGTCAGCAGCTAGAAAGCTGTTACCTTATGCTATATAAGGGTTAGGAAAACTGAGGGCTGGTGTCTGAGCTTAATTGCTTCTTCAGCCTTTTTCCTCTTTAGGTAAATGTGGTGCCTCTCACCATCCAGCTGACACATCAGTTCTTCCATAGAATAATGGGTTTTTTCTTTCCTGGCCGAAGTGTGGAAGATGATGAGGTTGGTGATGAAGAAGATAAATCCAAACTGGTGACTACTGGTGAGAACTTTTGAGGTGGAGCTCCAGAAGAAATGGGGTAACGGCCCCAGAGACAATTGGCGCTTCAGAAAGAGGATGACAGCTGGTGTGCTTGCTCTTTCATAGGCATACCAGTAGTGAAGCCTCGGCAGCTGATTGCAGCAGATGATGCCACACCCCTGGGCCCTGGGAAGGGTGTGGCACAGGGCTTGAATCGGAGTTCTGGGGTCAGGAGATCATTTCGCAAAGCACCTGAGGTATCTGATATGCTCTTAATGACAGAAAAATGGGAGCTGGGTTTGGCCTAGCTAAGGTTTCTTGTCCTTTGCATCTACTCCAGAGGGTGACAGGAAAGGGAGATGTTTGGGGTCCTAAGTTTCTTCTGATGGTTTTAGGGACTCATGCTTTTCCTGCTTGTTCTAGCACCCCGTGGATGATATTGACAAAATGAAAGAGCGAGCGGCTATGAACAACTCCTTCATCTACATAAAGATCCCACAAGTTCCACTGTGTGTCAGCTACAAGGTCTGCTCCTCCCCAGCATTTTTTAAAACAGGGTGGGAAGTGAACCAGATAAAATCATCAGAGGTGAAAGACAGAGTTCAGCTTGTGAAACTAGCCGATGCGTGCTCCACCTGCTCCCCTCTGCTCTCCTTCCCAGCAGCTGGCACCATTACTAGGCTGAGGTAGAGGAAGACCAGTATCTGTAGGTTACCGCTGCAGGAAGTGACTGGCTAGACTTGGGCTCAAGTACTGGCTGGGACCAAAATTAGCACTGACATATTTCTTCATTCTTTTCTCTCTCCTCTCCCTCCTCTTGCAGGGTGAGAAGAACAGTGTGGACTGGGGCGACCTGAACCTGGTGCTCCCCTGTCTGGAGTACCACAACAACACATGGACATGGCTGGACTTTGCCATGGCTGTCAAGAGGGACAGCCGCAAAGCCCTGGTTGCTCAGGTATCCTGCCAGAGTTACGGCTGTTTTAGTTAGCACGGGGAGCAAGCAGGTCCTCTGCTCAGGAACATTTTATTGTGGGCGATGTTATCCAGCACCCTTGGGAAAGGGCAGGTGAATGAAGTGAGTGACTTTGCTCAAATGATTGAATTGAATCTTTACTGTTTCTGCTGCTAACTACTGTTGAGTTTCAGGGAACTCAGGGCTCACACAAACTCAGTGTTAGGGTGGACTCAAGACTGTATGCTTCTTGAAAATGGAGATCATTTTTAATTTCAATTGCCCCATTGTGCCTTCACGTTAAGTTTCATTGCCTCCGTTTACATTGGTTTATTCTGCCTGCCCCACTAATATTTACCTTCCTTTTACTGTCTAACCTGTCAGGTAATCAAAGAGAAGCTAAGACTGAAGCCTGCAACGGGGTCTGAGGTCCGGGGAAAGTTGGAGACTAAATCAGACCTCAACATGCAACAACAAGAAGAGGAAAAAGCCCGGCTCCTCATCGGTTTAAGTGCGGGCAACAAGAACCCTAGCAAGAAGTCCATCTTTGGCAGGCGCAAGTGATCCGGCAATCCAACAGTGGCTGAAGTACAGGAGCTGACTCTGGCTCAGGCCCCAGGGACTTGTGGGGTGGGAGGCACTTCTCTTCATCCATCAGGATTAGTGGGGCCAGGAGCCCACAGGGTACTGTGGAGAAAGGCACTACTCTTTAGCAGCTGGTCTGTTCCCAGCAGAGCATGGAAGATAATGCTGAAGGTTCTACCTCACGCTGATCAGCAGGCCCAGGGCCAGAGGGGCATCAAGAGCACAAGATACAGGGAATAGGCCCAAGGCTGGGGGTCAGCTGAAAGGGTGAGGGGACAGTCCTGATCAAGTGTGGTAAATTTTTTTAAAGATTTATTTATTTATGAATACAAGAACTGGGGTACAGACCAGAGGTGGGGAGAGGGGTTGAGAGGATTCACCAGAGACAGAGTGGGGAGCAGAACAGGCAGATTGACTGAAATGCTGAGGGAGGCAGCAGGCCAGTCAGGAGAGGTCTGCCATGCCATGTGGGTCACTTCCCTGGCCAGGGATCGAACTCCTGCTACAGTGGCTGTGGATAGCTTCAAAGTGCTGCGCTTTAACCTGTTGCACCACCTGGGAGGGCCCTGTGGTAAATTTTTATAAAGACATATATATAAATATATATATATAGATATATATTTCTAAGTATAACTGCTTTGCCCCTGTGCCAGAAATTGGAGGCTGGCAGGGGTGGATCTGACCCTCATTCAACTGCCTTGTATGAAAGACGTTAGTGTTCTGGGGGAGATAGGCCTTTCCTCAGTCTGTGCCAAGCTCACTTGGGAGGATGGCAATAGGAAACAGGGCTGGCCATGGGTCCCCCTGGGGTACACCCTGGAAACGGTAAGAAAATGATTTAATGAGAAAAAAAAATATTTTAAATTTGATGTTGGATTTTTTTTTCTTTTGTGTTGAGTGCAAGTGTCCTTCCCTCTCCGTCAATCCAAGACACATCCTCTAGCTGCCACTCTAATGAGGTGGCCTCTTCCCTTCTGTCTGAAGCAGTATCACAGATACTCCCAGCTCTGGTATGACATTGACTCCATGCTGATAGGTCTCTGCGCATTTTAGTTTTGACTAAACATGGAGGAATTAGGATTTGGGATAGGGGATGGTTTTGGCTGCATCACTTGCAGTTCTAGTCATGAACAGCAAAGAAAAGGCGGGGCTCATGTAACAGCATCAGGAGGAGGAACTGTTTATGTTACTGAGACTGCAGATTTAGCAGAAGAGGCAGAGTCTGGGGATGGGAGCAGGGAGCTGTCAGCAGGAGCAACATGCCCGAGTGGCTCCTTCTCAGAAGGTAGGCTGTGGGATTCTGACATCCTGCCTGGGGAGGTGAAGAAGGAATGGGCTTGAGGCCTGGGAAGAAGCTGGTGAGGAGGATGTTAGTGATACCCAGTGTGGGGGTAGGGGAGGGAGGTATCTTAGCTCCATAATGAGAGGTGAAGGCTGTATTTCTAATGTCTTAGGGGGAAACATCCAGTGATTATTACTATTTAGATGACTTGAATTGTCTCCAGAAAATCTAGGTTTTGGTCCAAAGTAAGGGTGACAGTTTTACATGGTCAAAAACGTACCTCTAGCTAGGGCTGAGACTTGAGGGGGAGGGTGTGCCTGCTAAAATGGGCAGAAACTAATCCCTCAAGGGCAGCTGGTTTAGAGTGGCTTCCTTGGTTCCTAGCAGCATGGCAACATCCGGGCCCCCTTGGTCCGAGGCTGGAAGAGCCTCTGGTCAGGTGTGGGGACCACCAGGTCAGATCAGGAAGAACTGTGGGGACAACGGGGGCATCAGTGCCAGCATCAGAAGCCCCTGGAGCTGCTCCCACTGCTAGTAGAGAAGCCTCTGTCTGAGTGACCAGTGCCTCAGTTCATCAACCTTTTTCTGCCGGAATTTCCCATTAGGGGGCAGCAGCAGCTGAAGGTAGGTCAATGAAATCCCGGAAAGGGGTCTCTCAGTTTTAGGGAGAAGATCTACGAACAAGCAGTCTCAATTGCCCTGTTCTCCATTTCTTTGTACAGATTTTAGGCCTCAAGGCTAAAGGTTCTTTTGGAACTGTCCTCAAGGTGCTAGATTGTGGCCAGAAAGCAGTATTTGCAGTCAAGGTAGGAGCCTGGGTACTCTTCCACAATTTCTTCTCTTTGCCTCCAATCTTGATTCCAGAAAGGAGTAAACAATTCAGTGATGTATTTGCCTTTTAGGAGTCATCATGCCCCTATAAGTGGTGCCCACGGTAAAAGTCCTACAGAGGGACAGTTGAAGCAGTGCAAAGAGGTTAACCTCCAGGTAAGAATAGTCGTGGGAAGGATCCTGGGAAGAGCTAAATCCCAGGTGGGGAAAGTACCCTTCTTGTCCACTGTCTGCCCTCCGGGTTCTGTCCCTCCCTAGCTAACCTAACCTTCAGTTATCCGAAGGTCAATGAGGGAACTCTTTCCAGCATGACCTAGTGTGTTCCTTAGTATTATGTTGGTTCTGAAAATACCAGGCAGGCACTCCCAATTGCTGAGTTCACTTGAACCAAAAGTGAGGTCAGAGGCTCCCTTTCAAAACAACAGGGTAAAACCTGACTTCTTGGCTGCCTTGGTCCTCTGTGACCCTCCTTTAATTTGCTGTTTTCTTCACCCCTAGCGACAGATAAACCATCCTTTTATACACGGTTTGGGGGACAGCTGGCAGGGAAAACGGCACCTTTTCATTAGTGAGTGACTGGCCTCATTCCCAGGGGCCATCTGTACTCCCTCTCTAAGGTCACCCATCCCTCTCTTCTGCCTTTGCTCTGTTCCCTTTCTCATAGCACCTCTCTCCCCCAAAGAGAGAGGGATCAGCAGGTGGCGTGAGTTTGGGCAGGAGGGCTACAATGCCTTGAGCCCAGGCATCGTAGCCCTCAAATGCTGCCTAGACTTGTGGTTTGCAGTATACAGCTTCTGCAGCACAGATCTGCACTCCCTGCTGTTGGCTGCTTTGCTGAGGCTTCCATCCGCCTCTTTGCTGCTGAGCTGGTTCTGGTCTTGTGTAAGTGAAACCGGAGTGCTAATGGAAATGGGGAGGGACAAGCTGGATGGGCCACCAGAGAGATTAGTGGTATTCATTTTGAAGGTTAAAAAAAAAAAAAGGGGGACAGGGATGGAGGCTACCAGCGAGATCAGAAAGGCCAGGAGAGCTTCAGCCCATGCCCTGCTTTGTCATTCATAGGCTATCCACCACTTGGGCACCATCCATCGAGATGTGAAGGTAGACTTACGTGCTTTTTTGTGTGTCTGAGGAGGGGCATTAGTAAGAAGTACCAACAGGTCCAAGAAGGCAAAGGGGAGCTGCAAACAGTTGACATTGGAGCCCTCATAAGTGCTAAGGACCTGAGTAAGGGGCTTCCGGGTACAGATGTGAGAGCAGAGTAGTACACCTTCAGTGGGGAGTGCACATGATGAAAAGGGGCTGATAGTAAGAGGGAAAATGGCAACTTCTTATCTGTGATTTTTCAGATGGAGAATATCCTTCTAGATGAACAAGGTAAGCTCTTTGCTAGTCCAAGAATGAGAGGTATTTGGTTTGGGAGCAAGTCATGACTGAGGAGAGGTGGAAGAGCCTTACTGCTGCCTTCTGTTTCATAGGCCATTTGACACTGACGGACTTTGGTCTGGCCCACCACCTGCTGCAGGGAGCCCGAGCCTATACTGTCTGTGACACCCTTCAGTATATGGGTGACAAAGCTGGGTACGCACTGGCAGGAGGCCAGCCCGTGGAATCAGTGACAAAGTTGTCTCAAATCTGTAGTCCCAGAGGTCCTGAGTGGAGGGCCTTACAACCATGCAGCTGATTGGTGGTCCTTGGGGGTCTGTCTTTTCTCTCTGGCAACTGGAAAGGTGAGAACTGGTAGAAAAGTGGAGCCTCCCCTTGCGGTAGGAAAAAGGACGATCTTAGGAAATCTTGCTTTACTCTAAGGAATTGACACCTTTTCACCCCTTAACTCAGTTCCCAGTCGGCTGCAGAGAGTGATCACATGGCCATGTTGACAAGAGTGACCCACTGTGACTCGGAGAGCCCAGTTTCTCTTAGCCAGGGGCTCTCACTCCTGCTCCATGAGGTAAGGATGAGCACGATTTTCTTTCTTGTCTACCAAACTATTCACTCTCTCCTTTCCCTATCACTGAAGTGATAGTTCCCCATTCCTGATTATCTTGGGGGCAGGAGCTCCAGCTTGATCAAATACCACCTCACTACTTGTCCTCTAACCAACACTTCAAATTTCATGTCTGAGTTTTGGCCCTCCAGATGATCTCCCCATCCTGAGAGAGGTCACTGCTGAGACAGGGCCGCTGCTGTTTTCTTCCCAGTGCAGTTCTTTATTTCCACCTTTGTCCTGCACTTAGTGCTTTTCTCTATTTTATATTCTCTATTCTTTATGGTTCTTTTTCCTGCCCTCTACAGCTCGGTGAACTTCTCTCTCCTTTTCCAGTTTATCTGTTCAGCTCCTTTCCTATCCTGGCCCCTCATCCCAAATGCTCTACTTCTCTCCAGATCTTATGTCAGAATCACCCTCCATCATCTCCGCTATTTGCATCACTTCCAGCTCCCCCCTTTCTTTTGGGGTGTGGCCTTTGACCCAGAGCTCCTACAGAAGCAGCCAGTGAACTTTGTCATGAAGACACAAGCTACCCGGCTCAGTCCATCGGAGTCCATGCTCTTCAAGGACTTTGACTGTGACCTGGAGTCCTACCTGGCCCACCCCAGCCCTGCTTGAGCTCCTCTACAGTAGACTTGGGCCGCTCTGGGAATCTGAGGATCTCCTCCACTGACAACTCAAGATGAGCACCTTGATGACCTAGTGTTTTTACTCTGTGGCCTTTTATCATTCTGTTCTTGTTCAAATCTTGGATATTTTGCTACTGGAAGCCTCCGTTGGCCCTAGCCCTCCTCCCAGCATACAACTCACATCTGACCTTTTTCCTTTGCTTCATTTCTTCAGTGCTGTAGCTTTCAGCCAGAGGCTTCTTCCGAAATTTCCCCCTCCCGCTTCTCTGTTGTGTTTTCTCTGTCAAGTGTAGTAAACAATACTTCATGAGTTCCCAAGGTGCTTTTTATTTATATATTTAGTAGGCTTATTAGAAGCAGGCATCTCAATCTTAAATTTGCAGCTAAAACATTATCTGGGAACTCAGAGCCAATCTGGAATAAATAAACTTTTAGAAAGTGAACCAAATAGCCTAAAGTGAGAACAGGAACTGAAACTTGGGTAAGGGGAAATGCCTCTTCCAGGAGACACTGGAATAGCTATCAAAATTATTTCCAAAACAAAATATCACCAAAAGATACATTGATACTCAATGAAACAATGAGTACCTATGTTCATCATTTCTGTAGACAGCTCAGCTCATTTAGTTTTTGATGAGCAAATGAAAGGGTGACAGGAACCTTAAGATTTAAGATTAGCTCTGCATCTCAGGGACCTTTTCCTTTAGTAAGGAAAGTCATTTGGGGGTCCTCCCTGGTGGTGCAACAGGTTAAAGTGTAGCACTGCAAGTGAGTCTCAGCTGCCTCATCATGAGTTCGATCCCTGGTCAGGGAGGTGACCTACATGGTGCAGCAGACCTCTTCTGTCTTGCCCGCTGCTTCCCTCAGCAGTGTGCTTCATCGATCTGCCTATTCTGCTCCCCACTCACCTTTCATCTGTACCCCAATTTTGTATGCATAATTAAATAAACCTTTTTTAAAAAGTCATTTGGATCTTACATTTGTATACATTGACTTCATTTATTGACTTCATTTTTACTTCTCAAAAGCTTCATTTTTATTATTCTTTCAGTTATATCTGATCACTCCAAACCAAAGCGAGTTTGGAAGGTGCTTTGTGTACATCTATTTATTAATTCTGTTCCTAAATAAAGCTGGATTTTCCTTGTATGTTGATGGCATTATATTCAATTATAAGCAATTCTAGAGAATTGCTTTCCTGGATTGTACTTTGGCAGCCTTTTTGAAAATTCCTATGAAATTTAACTTGTGGATTCTGTAAAGGATGTTTATCATAATTCATAATGTTCTATTAAGGATGCATGGGTGGAATTTTCTGACCCCACTTGTGCTTTTCTTGAATTACTATTTGGTTTTTACCTTAAAGACAAATATTCAACTGACTATTTTTCTGTTCATAGTGATGCTAGACAACTTAACAGTCTAGTTTATGGTTCGTCTGCATAAAGTACAGACTTCATGTTATTAATTTTGAATGCTAGTAGCCACATTCATGATTCCATCTTCCTTTATTTTCCATATTCTTGTTTTTCTATGTTTTAATCTGTTTTCCCCCTTTATTATATTTATCTTTGTAAGCTTTTTTGGAATTAAGTTGGGACATAAATAAAGAATGTATCCTTGTCCTCTTGGTTATCTCATTTTTCTTTTCTAGCTTTTTACATTTTTAAAAGTTATAGTGAAAAAAAAAAAAAGTTATAGTGGCCAGAACTGGACATTAGGTAAACACCCTGAATAGTAAAAATAGGAATTAGTGGTCTTTAAAATAGCATTTTAAATGTTATAAAAGTATTAAATTAGAATTTAGGATAGCTGGTGTCTGGATCCACCAGTAATTATTTTGGTGTCTTTACATAAGCCATTTAAACCTCTCTGGTTTTAGTTTCCTATGTATAAAATGAGGGAATTATAACCACTGGTTCTTCATTTTGGAGGCGGGCTTCAGATTTTGTGATGCTTTTTGAAAGGGCACTACAGATGATTTTATGATACTGTGTGTCTGACCCAATGTTGATGAATAAGTGTGCAGATCACCCAAGTTATATAACATCTTTGATTACAGCAACATTTTGGGTTAAGGTTTTTTGACATGTTTAACATAATGTCACTAGGTTCCTAGATCAGATTAGATAGCATGGAGTGCCTGATCATGTATGTAAGTGTAGTTTGAAGCACTTTTTACCAAATGAGGACATTTTCAAAATACTTTCTTTAATCAGTGGTGCACTGTAGCAGTATTCTCTGGGTTGAGTGGAGGGATGGTAGAAAAAATTTGAGAGTACTTTTTTTTCCCAGAGAGAGTACTTTTTAAGAAATATGTTTATGTTATATATTTATGCATATAAGAATTGGGGTGTAGGCCAGAGGTGTGGGGTGGGGGATGTGTGAGAGGAATTACCAGAGACAGAATGGGCAGAACAGATGGATCTACTGAGGGGCGCAGTAGGCAAGACAGGAGAGATCTGTTGCGCCATGTCATAGTGACTGGTGACAGCTTGATAGCATTGAGAGTTCAACCCCTGTCTCACCAGGATGGACCCAAAAAGTACTTTTTGAAAGGGCACTGCTCCCACCCCCCAGTTTTAAATGCTCATCCCTAGAAAACATTCTTTCCTAACACCCTCTACCCCCATTCAGAATCTGTGAACTATATATACCTATTCATATGAAATTCACTTAACTCAAAAGTGTTCTTTTAAGTTTAGGTCCTATGCTCTGACTTTTCACTACCAGAACCACGTTTAAATAAGGATATTTTAACTTTGTGCTCATACAAGATTTAATCTTAAATCTTACAAGATTTAAGATTATTCTTAACACCAATCCTTAATATTTTTCTTCTAAAAAAGTGTCTTTGTAGTTCAACACATCTATCTCAGTACTTTATCATCTATTGGATCTGTTCATTTGATCACTTGCTCATTGATTTAACAAAATGCCATTCCTTGGTTATTTCTTTAAATAGAGTCATCAATGTAAACATCTTATCTAAGCTTTTAAAAACAATTAATTTGGGCCCTCCCTGGTGTTACAAGAGCTTAAAGCACAGCACTTTGCAGTTACTGCAGCACAAGTTTCATCCCTGGCCAGGGAGATGACCCACATGGCACGGTGGGCCTCTCCTGTTTCACCTATTGCTTCCCTCAGCAGTGTATTTCAGTCAATCCCCCTGTTCTGCTCTCCACTCTGTCTCTGGTGAATCCTCTCACTGCCCTTCCCCACCCCACCCCCGCCCTGCCCCGACCCCAAACACACAGCTCTGGCCAGTTCCTGTGTGTATAAATAAATAAAGCTTTAAAAAACAAAGTCATTTTTGCTGCATTATTAACTCCTGTTATGGGCCAAATTGTGTGCCATTTCCTCCCAAATTCATATTAAGCCCTAACTTCCAGAGTGATGACTGCATTTGGAGATATGGTCTTTAAAGACATAATTAAGTTAAAAGGAGTTCATATGGGTGCATCATGATCCAATATGATTGGCATCCTATATAATAGAAAATTAAGACATAGATTCACACAGGGGGAAGAACATATGAAGATTTATATAGGGAGAAGAGTCATCTAAAGATAAAAGCTCAAGAGGCCTCAGAAGAAACCAACACTATTGAAACCTTGACCTCAGACTTTTGGCCTTCAGAATTGTGAGAAAATAATTTCTGTTGTTTAAGCCATCGTGGCAGCCTTAGCTAATCAACACAACTCTATGAAGCATTCTAACAGATTGAGAAACAAGTTTTATTTATAAAAAAGTTACATACTTGTCTCTGGGGGGACAAGGGATTAAATCTCAGCACTGTGAAGCTACCTGTAGACACTGCAGCACAAGTTCAATCCCCAGCTAGGGAGCTGACCTTCATGGCACAGTAGGACTCCTGTCTTGCCTGCCCACTGCTCCTCTCAGCTGTGTATTTCAGGAGATTCAAAGGACATTAGACACCTGCTGGCAAATCACATAATCTCTGACTCAGTTCTTTTGTCTGTAAAATGGAGAGGTGGGGTAGGATAGGAGTGTATTTATAGTATTAATATCATAGACAGACCCTTAAAAGGATTAAAAGAGTTAACAGTGTTCAATTCATGTTAGCTGCTGTTCCAGTAAACCTTGAACAGGTGATTTGCCAGCAGGTGTCTACTGTCCCTTGCATGGAAAATCTAGTAATTGGGGACCTCCTTGGTGGCCTACAGGCTAAATCTCAGTACCATCACCCCTATGGTCTGAGTTCAATCCCTGGCCCGGGAGCTGACCCACATAGGGTCTCAGTACCTTATTTACATTTGGAAAAGTCAATATGTAACACTAATCATAGTCTGCTGCAGGCCCAGAGATAAGTCCCAAGAAAACACCTAAAATTTAAGTAGCTAAATTAAGAGTGTGGTTGAGACCACAGGTTAGCACGTGCAACTCACTCTGCCTAAGTGAAAAGTTCTAGTCACCTTTAACCTCAGAACTCACTGTGCCTCGCAAAGCGGGGTAACTGAGGGAAACTGCCTCAGACCAGGCCACCAATGCCTCCTGACGGGGCACGAAGGTGACCTGCTGGTCGCCGGAGGTATGGGTTCCTGGGTGCTCCAGCTACCTGGGCATCCGGCCCCCGCAGACTGGACGTCGGCGGTCTGAAGCGTTTCCGCCGCAGAGCGCCGGCCCCTGAGGCCCAAGTGGGGGCGGGGGCGGGGCCACCACTAGCCCCGCCCACAGCCGCCGGCGGGCGTCCCGAGTGGACCCACTACCCTGACGCACAGCCTCTCCGCAGCCAATCCGGGAGCGCGGCGCAGGTTCAAATAAAGACGGCGGGTGGACATGGCTTCACCTCCTGAGCCTGGAAGGTGATCAACTTCCTTCCTATCTGTGTTGAAGATGTGGCAGATGAATAAACGCGACACTAACCTGTCGCCTTCGCCCCAACCGGTGAGCAGGAGAGCCTTTTAGAGAAAGCAGGGCCAGGGGCTCACGGAGGGGCGCCCGTCGTGCCGACACCTCCTGGAAAGTTGGGCGGAGCGTGGGGCAGCTGGGGGGTTTGTGGAGTCTTTGTCCCGCGGCTTTGAGCGCCACCGTGTCGGAACCTTCGCACATTAACCTTGTCAGCTTCTTAGGCCGACAGGCGGATCCGCAGAGTCCGGGCTTTTTCACACACTTTCTCTTTCTAGGGAAAGCCAGTTATGAGAACGCCTCTCCGAGAACTTGTCCTGCAGCCCAGCGCCCTCACCAGCTCTGGAAAAGGTCCCCCAGTATGCGACACGCTGTCCCCATCATTGTCCAAGCTGGGACTGCAGGTGAGGTTCGCCACGCCAGCTTCTCTACTGGGCTCTTTGCCGAGAATGAGAGCTCAGAGGAACAGAGGGCCAGGGCTGGAACGTAATTAATAGCGATAATGAAGTTTTCTATCTCAGTGACATCTATTTACAGCTAATCAGGCCAATAGAGAGGTGCCCTAGGTTGGTTAAAGGAAATCCACGGGGAGACCCCGGACCTCTATTTAGTTGTTAGTTTTTATGACTTCCCCTCTCCTCTACTCCATCCCCCCTCCCCCCAAAGTTTATCAAACGGAGAAATACTGGGGTCTCCCTCTAATAAGGACTCACAGAGAGGCCAGTCCTTTCTGCTGCAAGACTGAGGCAAAACCTTTTATCACTAGAGGCAGCCAGAATTCTCCTGGGATCAAGTTACACCTCTTGTACCACCTTAAAACCTGTCCTTGTAGAATTGTCTTCACTGAGTCTTTTCTTTTTATCAAAGGTCTTGAGAGACCTTGTGGAAACTGCTTTTCAGTTGCTTAAAAAAGTGTTAAGGGAGATTGACTCCTCT